TGTGTTTGCCTGTTGTAATGTGACGCCAGGTGACAGTTCTATTAGACGCCCCGCTTATGTCCCGGTGCCCAGTTGTTTGTGTTTATTCTGATACAGGACATGACACGGTGGCAGCAGGTACAAGACATTCCCAGAGAGTCCTCGTCCAGAGCAATCAAATATAGCTGGAGATAATCATAAACACCAGCAGTACAACTGTAACAACCTGCCACAGCGGCTGAATTGCCCAGATGAGATAATAATAATAATAATAATAATAATAATTGTTGTTTTGTATTAATTACATTACATTTTTATTTTATACCATCATCATCAGTAGAATTCTTGCTTTTACTTCTCTGTTGAGAGAATTACATTGAAACATTCAGTGTAAAACAGAAGGAAAGAAAAAAAATATATATATACATTTGGTCCATCTAATTGAATTTTTTGTAATCATTCCTTCCATTATCAGCAATTATCTTGCGGCACATTTTAATCTGACAGAAAGAGCGTGAGTGTGCGTGTGAGATGACGCCTCTTGGAGGAACACTTTGTAATAATGTGAAAGTAATTAAATTAAAAAGCTGAATATCAGTGAATAAATGTTTTTCTGATGTTATGTTTATATATATATATATATATATATATATATATATACAGAGAGAGAGATAATAGGTGTGGTTTTTTGTAGGCAGTCATATCATCCCAGCACTTGGGCCAAAAAAATGTTCTATTTAATATTTTCAATTATTTAAAGCTTAAATAGGTGGATGGTGTCTGAAGGAGGATCTAAATAAATGTCACTCTCTAAACTGCTGTAATGATGTGTATATTGAAAAAAATAATAATAAAACAGGCAGTGTGGTCCTTTAATCACTCTCTTCAGGAGGAGTAGGACGTGATTTATGTGAAGCATTATATTTAGCAGGCGACACAAACGAGACAAGACGGGGGAAGAAAAGAGGGGAGAGAAAAGTAAATAAAATGCTGTCTCTGCGCTTCACGCCATCCTGTCATATCTACAATGGCAAAGAAGAAAAGAGGATGGAATGGGAAGGAGATTGGACGCGTCAGGAATTTTTACTGACCGTCAACGGAAAACAAACGCTTCCGTCACTCATTTAGCATTTGCTGGGTAAAAAAACCCCAAAACAAAATCCAAGGGATCCAGAAGGGATTAAAGCATGAGGTGGAGGAGGACATTTGGTTCAAGGAGATGGGACTGAGTGTCTCCATGATACGTCTTTTGTCCAAGCTCTTCACACCAGTTCACACATACTCACATTGTCCTTTATGGGCAGTCATTATGCAGCGGTATCTTCTATCACACATCATTCTCTGGCTGCTGGCAGTGAGTGGGTTCAGTGTGTGGCCCAAGGACAATTCTGCGCACAGACTGGAGAAGCCAGCGTTCAAACTGCCGACCTCCGTGGCGTCCCTAAAATAGCTCTTAAACACTCATTATCATAATGAGTTACATCAGGGTTCAGGTCAGGGTCAGTGATGATGAGATACAGTATCTGTTGTAAGGTTGAAGCAAACACCCTGGGCTCAGATCATAGCCTGTATAATATATTGGATGTGGGCTCCTGCTTTGAAAAGTCAAGATGAAGGAGAGAATTACCCGTTAGCCACCAGGGGGCGATTAAAGAAATATGTTTCTAGAAAAATGTGGAAGAGGTGGTACCATCACTTTATGCCATTGAATGGAAAAAAATGGTTTCTTCTTTACAAGGCATAAATATAGTCATAGTAATAATAAATAAATGGTCTGGACCAGAACGGTGTGGACCAGAACGGTCGTAACCTGGCGGTGAAGCTTCTGTTCTGAGGTGTTATCTAATTCTTGGGTCACCAACTATATTTGTCGGAAGGCGAGAAATTGTTTTGGACAGACTCCTAGGGGGAGTCACATTTTTGATTAACGGCGAGAAATTGTTTTGGACAGACTCCTTGGGGGAGTCACATTTTTGATTAACATTATCATTTGAAGTATATTGTTTATGTGTATATAGTTTTTATTTTATTTTCCTCACAATTTTGGAATCCAATCACAGGCCAGGTTGAACGGCTCCGATGATGTTCACTGCCACCTACTCCTGAAGTCCCAGGTGTGGGATAGGTCAGGGAGTTCGTCTGATTCTAATCTCAGAGATGTGGCAGTGGCAGTTCAAAGACAAAACTAAAGAAAAACTCCGGCTGAGGTCAGATGATGGTCCGTGCTCTCCCGGTCTCAAACATTTGGCCAGGTGAACGTTAGTGCCCCTCACCATCCCTCTCATGTCCCACCACTGAACAGGTGAAGTGATGCATAAAATGGGATTCAGGTTTGTCCCTCAACAACCTTTTCCCTTTATTAATTTAGATGCTTCAACTTATTTGGACTTTTATGCTCACATAACACAGCTGTATCTTTATCTCTCACACAATTTGGAATCATTTCATGCTTTATATAGGCCACCATCACTGGAAAAGAAGAAACGCCACTAAAAAAAAAGATGCACTTTGTCTCCACATCTCATTTCCACGTCCTCTGAGTACATTTTATCTCCAGCAAGATGAGCAGGGATATAAAGAGTGCTTTTATCTGCCGAGCACTAACCAGATGAGGAGAGGCATCGTATATGCCTCGTGTGTGCGCAACGCCCGTGTACTCAACTGGGTAAATTGAACAAATAAGGCAAGATCTAATACTGCTGCGGGCCACATTACACACAGAATGCAATGTGGCAGATAATTCCTGTGGCAGGGCGAAGTATGGCCATGCACTCAGTGCTTAAATTAAGCAGAAAAGTTTGGAGCCACGTTGGAGAAAGTGTGCGTGTGAATTCTTAACGCTATCGTTTGAGGACAAACGACACAGATCCATATTTCTTAGATAAACGGTTAACTTTTAAATTAAAATGAAATTTGTAGTTACATGAAAGTTTGAATTAAACATACACTGATTATAGTTCTGATCAGGGATATAAGAATAAAATTCAGAGATTTATTTATTTGGAGTATCTTTAACCAGAATAGATTCAGGATTCGAGATGTTTTTATTGGCCATTGGCAAAAACCAGACAGGTCAGACACAAGGGGATTCACATCAGGAGAGAGGTGGAGACAAGTCAGAGAAAAAGGGGGATAAGAGATAAATGCTGATAAATTAAGACGTACACACATTTGTACTGAGCAATATTGCATATTAACTCATATTAACTAGAGTCCGATTATCTGTGCTTAATTTAGGAATGAAACGTGTCCTGAACTGTGAACATGTTCTGATGTTTTTAGTAAATTGTAGACTGTTCTCTGAAGCAAAGGGTTTTCTTTTTTTTTGTTGTTGTTGAGGTCACATGTTTAGGTGTCAGGGATCTAACGTTCTGTTGGGCATCAAAATAAAATAATTTGATTCATTTAATGCTGCATAATGTTTGTCCCCAACACGTATAGACAATAAATAAAGTTATTGGGAGTTTTACAAACATAGCATTTATCCAGAACAGGACGCCAACCAGCTGTACACACCTGCATCCAAATGAGCTACCACACACACTCACACACACACAGACTCAAACATGGATGACATGCATCTTCACGTGTGCCCTCTGACCCCTTTATGGTGGCTTGGATAGAAAAAAACTATAAATAGAAAATACCTTGTGTGTGGGTGTGTGTGTGTGTGTGTGTTTATTATCAGTGTAAACAGCAGCTCTGCAGCACTGATCTATCACATAAGTCACTCGGGCCCCTGCTGCCTATTGATTTGGCAGTGCTTTCTCCCTCACACACACATGGTCACACAGCACACACACACACACACACATGGTCACACAGTTCTTGTGCCAACTCTTACATACAGACGGTCCAGGCTGATTAACCAAAGAGAGGAAGAAGTAGGGCTGTGAGTTATAGTCACCTAGCATTTGACTGTATCTTTGATACTGGTTGAATCATACTCGTGCCATATGATGTGCATCAGTGCTGCCCTGTGTGGATGTTGTATGTACTGTATCGTTGAACCTCTAACTTTCAGTTCAATTGGATTTAAATGGCAATCAATGGTAATTTACAATTCTATCCTGAGCTATTGTTTCCCCTCCACCACCACCCCCCACCCTTTCCTTCCAACGACACGTTCCTGAGTCGATGATGTTTGTGATGTTTGAGTTTGCACACACAACACACACACACACAAAACACACACACACACAAAACACACGCACACACATAAGTACAGGTAGCATTTGAGGTAACGCTCCCGTGAGATTCACCTATTGATTTTCAGGACACAAACATTGTGTGCTGCAAGTTCTGGTTCGGATTTAGCTGCAGGCATTTTACTGACCTTTGAACTCTGAGAAGTAACTCGGAGAATTATAGTGGGACAGAAGGAAAGGGTGTGTGTTTGCGTGTATATATGTTTATGTCCATACATGTGTGTGTGTTAGAGAAGGGCAGCTGTGGCCTGAAGCAAAAAAATCAGAGTTGACTCTGTAGGGTCTCTTGTTTGTGTGAGCCTGTGTAGAAAACTCATACACAGTACCCACCACTTCCTTTCCTTACTGTTAGCTTCTTCCATCTCTTCCTGTCTTTCTCCCTTGGTTTTTAAGTTTTCTTTAGAAATAAGGAAGACCTTGTATGATGAGATGTTCCTGCAGTGTCAATACTCATGATTGTGTCCTTGTGGGTAAAAACGCATCCTTTTATACATGTCTTCACTACTTCATGGAGACCATTTGGGCTCAGGCTCATGTTTATGTAAAGTGTCCTCAAAGACAAAGTAAGAACTGTGTTAGCTGTTGGAAGACAACAAGACGTCTTTTGTGTTGTTACTTTGTCGTCACATATGTTAGAATAAACCTAACATTAGCTTCATTTGTGAGTTTTGTTTTGTTTTTTCACGAACATAATTCAAACCTTGAAGGACAAACAATAAAAAGAAAACATCACTGAAAAAAAAGAAACACAGTGAATGAGTGTGAACAAAATACCACACTTTAGAGAGCAGAAATACAGGCTTTACTGAATTGTCCTTTATTTTCCTTTGCTTCAGGGACATTTGATTTTTTTTTTCTTACAATTCCTTTCACGTATAATGAGAATACGACCAGCCAGACAATTTAAATTAACCAGTTGATTACACATATTTATGCATACCCCACCAAATTCCTTTTTAAAGACATGACTAACCTTAAGTGCTTGCTTTAGGTTAGTGCTCATTTTCATTGTCTATTCTACGACTAGTCATCTATAGATACTACCTCAAAACCTGCACTGCTGCCACCAAACTGCTGTTGTCATCCAGGAAACACCGTCTATTTAGTTCTCTCGATTCTCAAAAGTTCATCTTGTCTTATCTTCAAGCTTGGCAGGAAAAGTATAATTTTATTACCTCTTGTTGCAATAAATAAATAACTGATGACAACACCGACTGACACTGACAGATTTTGATTATTTTATGCCTACATTCTCAGCAAACATGAGCTGTAGGCCTAGACGCAGTTGGACGGGGGTGGATTTTTGTAGTACTTTCCTGGAATAGAGCAAGTCAACTTTGATCTCAGCAGCTGTGGTCGCTCATCCTCCCTGCTGGCTGAGGAATAGGAAGAACAAAGCATGATGGGACATCAGGGCCCATAGGCAGAGATGCAGGTAGAAATGACGCTGTAAGAAAAAAAAAGGCAAATAGATAGAAGGAGAAGGAGTGGTGTAAACAACTTGAAAGAAACAAACAGAGAATACAAAATAAGAATTAGATAAAAAGATGACTCCTCATTTCTAGTCATTTTTTCCTGGGTTTCAGTGCAACTTGGAAAAAAAGTCGGTACATCATCTTTGTTTTTTTTTTCCCAAATCAGATGTTAAAGTGTCAAGGCTGCACTAGACACTTAACAATGCTAGGCAGTTTTAAGAAAGCATGAAAATGTTTTTGTTGTATTTTAGCAGTTATTTATTTAATACTTTTTTTATAAGTTTAGTATTGCATCCTGTGTATTTTTGTATTTTTTTAAAAATAAAAATTAAGAAGATAAGGTTTTGTTGTTGTTATGGTACTAACATCGGTCATATTTTTTACTGCCTTCTACCCATTTTAAATTTCAGATTAATAAGACATTATCTAAAGTTTAAAAAGTCCATTCTAGATTAGTCTTCATCAGTGGAACTGTAATGTAACATTAAACAGACAATCAATGCGTTTCAACGTTGTGTTCACCTACCTCTTCATTCACACAGACAACACAATCAAACACTGGTTTGTTTGGTTTAACTTACACTATAAGATACTATCAGGAATCCAAACACCTAAAATGTCTCTTGTATTTTGAATTCTAGAATCTGTCCAGAGATTTAAACATGATTTTCTTTTTTTGTTTTTGATGTCTTTCTTCTGAAGCACGCCTGCTGCCCAAATCATATTCACTTTATGCATACGCAGTGGGGCAGAGCCTTTTCCAACCAGCTGTAGTTGCACTGAATCATTTTTTCCACAGAAGGACGAGATGTTGAAACAGTTTTTCTCCAGAGAGCAATGTTGCCTCTGTTCACTCTGATGGACTCCACTGATGCTTCTTCTAAGCAGAGGATTAAAAAATATATTGTCACACTTCATTACTTTTATGAAGGAAAAAAAAACTAAGCTAACTTTGTTTTACTCTAAGAAAACTTTATAAACAGTAGTATTTTCTTTCTTGTTTTATTCTCTTTAAGGTTTAAAGGCCAGTTGTGGATCTTTCTTCAGTTTTTATGAAAACTGAGATATCACAGTTAAATAACGACACAAGTCTCTGGTGTTGCTTAAATTTATGAGTAAACATTAAAAAGCAGCGGAGTAAAATTTTTATTACTTTCCTCATTTTGCTCAAGTGTTTCCATGAGGACCAGAGCATAAATCTACTCTCTCTATGTTCTAGTTTGTTGTTTTTTTTCCGGGGTTTTGTTCCCTTTATACTCATGTTCGGAGACGAGGCCTTTGGGTGAAACAGTAGATACAGCAAGGTAGACATGCAGAAAAAACCTGTGAACAAAGTGAAGTGAACAAAGGTATAAGCTGATGTTCATCAAAACATATTTATTTATTCTAGCACAAAAATACAGGTATAATGGAATATATGTACTGTTTGTGATAATTAATTTGCAGTAACAAGAAGTACTAACACAAACAAATTACAAATTTTAGATTCAGATTCACCTAGAAGTTTCTGCAGCTATTACAGGAAAACGTTGACGTAAACAAACATTCTATAAAATCCAAACTATTCCTTTTACTAATTTGAAGCAAACTTTTTGTTTGCTTTTTATTTTGTTTAATGCTCAAAAAGGCACATGGAAATCATTGTTGACATTTTTTCAGCATAGATAAGAACAAATCCCCATGAGATCACTCTGCAGTGATACACCTGAACACAACACACCACTTGTCATTTTGATTCTCCACACACCTGTCACACATTGTTTTCCGCGGCTGGTCAAACGTGTCAGCATCAATCTGTCTGCCGCGTCACTCAGCTGCGTGACTAAGAATGCGAGAAGGCACCGAATCAGACGCAGGTAGACGGTTGTGAGCCGGATCAAAACAGGAAGTGGCTCGGAGCGGAAGATGCTGACAGGCGTTGTCACACTGAAAAAACACTCAGAGAATGGGTTTGGAGTGGAGAAGAAACAGAAGTGATCAGAGGAGAAAACATAAAAACCTGCCTCTGACAAACAAGAGCAGTGAGCTGATGACTGACAATGTTCGCACATGACTGACAAACAAGACCATGATGAGAAGTTTGTTTGTCTACGGTCTGTCTTACCTCATTTATTTTTGCTTTATTCACATTTTTATAAACATAGTTTAATCCTTTTTTTAAAATATTTTTTAACATATAGCTTTCGCATAGTGTGTGAAACTAAGCTATATTTATATCTAAATGTATTTATATTTTATTGATATATTTATTCATATACCAATCCAACAAAAAATCTGTTTGAAATTAAACCTTAAACTTAAAATAACAGAAGGTAAATGTGCTGTGCTGTCCACATACAGTGAGCTTACAGTGCATTATATTCCCTCTTATGTCTTATGCTCTTGTATGTTTCACACTGAAAGCATATTTGGTGTCTAATGATAACATCAGTTTCACATACAAAAAGGCCAAACACAATGTAACCATAAATGTAAAAAAATACCCCTTAAATTCTGCAGATAGTTTGAGAAACCATACGTCCATCCCTCCATTTTCTTCTACTTGTCCATTGGCAGAGTCAGGGGACAGTGCAGCCAATCCCACCTGTCAACCAACCAAGGTTGTGTTACATCCTGGACAGTTCAGCAGTCCATTGCAGATGCCACATATAGAGCCAAACAAGCATTTACACACGTCATAAAATTACTGATACAAATATATTTTTAACTAAATATTATTCAACACAAATTTTGATTGACAGGGAAAATAAAATATGTGTAATGCCAAAATGGGGTCACAAGCAAAAAGGAAAACAATAATTTATGTTCATATTAAATTGCAAGAAATGGTAAAAAGGCCAGGGTCAATTTACTTTCTCATATTCTCCATGGTACATTAGTGCAGTGTGTGTGTTGTTGTCATGCATCTAATGGTGTGAATGCATCCAGCGTGAAGACAGTCCTAGGTTTAACATCTCTCTTCACCATGAACTCACCACAAAACTGATCTATAAAATATATGCAATGCTAATAAGTGATTAAGTTGGAATGATATTTGCAATGACATCTTTTTAGTAAACTTCATGTCACTGTACATCAAGGAGTGTGTACAACATTTTAAGTTCACTAAGAGTTAAATGTGACTCTCCTGAGGAAGTGTTGGAGCCTGAGGGTTATCCCTGAGCTGACTGTTATCTTACAAACATCCTTAAACACTTTCTAATGTGAACACTTTAAAGTGGGAAAAACAACTTTAAATTCATTTCAAGTTTAGAGTGTTTCCGGGAGGACACACACACATACACACACTCACATTGTGACAGGGGAAGATTGTGAGGTCCCATTAATAGGGTTCACCTCCCTCCTCACCCACCTCACCTCCTTTCCACATGATCCCCAGATGCATCCAGAATAACGGCAGCAGGAGCTTCAGCCTCAGGCTCTGATGCTGCAAATTTATTCACTTTTGTAGGATAATTGAATTTTTCCTCCATAGTAGACTGATTTCACAGGGGTTTTAGTACGTGTGTGTCTGTGTGTTTTCACAGGGGTTTTAGTACGTGTGTGTATGCCTGACTTTTTTTTTCCTCTGGACTATTAATAATAGACTTCTTGGCGTTTATTTTGCTGTGTGGATTCGTTTCACCCCACTGCTAATTTAGTCCTTTGTCAGAACTGATCTGCAGATTTCCTGGGGCTTTTCTTCCTATTTGCCTCTTGTTTGATGTTATTTACAGTAGTGGGGGGGGGGGGGGGGGGGGGGGAGTAATTGACCATTCATGGGTCGGAGGTTACCTAGTTTAGATTTTGGGTTTTGGTGTGTCTACAGGATTTAGCTTCAAGCAAGGGGTGTAAGCAGACACTCTTGAAAAATATTTTGTTTGATGCATGGAAATGTAACACTGACAACTGTATGAGTTTGGTCTGACGGTGAATTCACACCAGCTGAGCCTCAGCAGGAACTGTGAAGGAACATCAGTTTTCTGTGCCACAGTTGTTTTGGCCATTACTCTTCCCAGACCCATCATAACACGTGACTAAATGCACCACACAGTTGGTAGTTTTATAAAAAAAAATGTTTCAATGGAAAACTGTCAAGAAGTAAGTAGATTAAACAACAGAATGTGAAATAGACCACACGTAAAATCAACATTTTCATAGGCTTGCTCACCAACTGCCTAAAAGCAAAGACAATCTAACACAGAGGAAATATATATTAAGTTAAGTAAATTGTGGCTACTGTGCTCTCTGCATTTTTCATTTGCCAATTGAATCCTCAGAAATGACATTTTTCTATGCCTTTGTCAGACTTTTTCTAAGTCTCCATTTTTAAAATTGGCTATAAACTCTAATGGTCACCATTAACAGACCAAAGTGGGCTCTCCATTGCGCTCACAGAGACAAAATTGGACTCAGGTGTCCACCTGTAGATGATAACAAACCTGGATATCATCGTAAAAACAATAATGGACTCAGTTGTGCATGTGGAGGAGCATATTGTCCTCCAGGGGCACATGTGAGCACAGTATAAAAGTCTGAGGTGTCCGGATAGAGACAATAATCGGCATAAGTGTCCACAAAGATACAATAATGGACAAAAACTGTTCAGATAAACACATAAAGAAAAGTGACTGTATAATTTCTTTAACCTTAATTTAACCAGGATGTCCCCTGACACTGACATTTTTTTAAGGCGGACCCAATGCGGTCAAGTCTGCTCACCACAACTAAGCCACCAGACTAGAACAAATCACAAAGGCATTTTTTAAACAGATACTTCAGATCTTAGCATTCACATTTTGTTGCTAACATCTGCAACCACTCAGAAATGGTATAACAACATTATATTCATGGCCTATGGGGTGCAAAACATAGGTTACCTTTATTTCACATCTGCCAGGTGTTTAGGTGGTAAAGAATAAAGTGGAAGGAACAAACAATTACAGTTGTGTCACATGACACCCAGCAGAACAGGGCATACAGTAAATATATTTCAAATATATAGTGCACAGAATAGACCTGGAAACACTACCAGAACAACTTATCAATTTTAAAATCAAAGTAATTCAAGTTAAAAGTGAGTGAAATCATGAAGTGCAATGGGAAGGTTGGGTGCAACGAAAGCCACAGAAAACCTAAAACAAGTGACATACAATGTTTAGATGTTGTCCGACTGTCATCAGTCTAACTGAACTTAACTTACATGTAGTAGCAGTTATATGCAGTTCCATTTATTACCACTGCGTCCACCTAAACTCCACGTGCGCACCATACGCACTACCATCTGCATGACAATGTGCACCGAGCAAGTGGTGCAAGACCTGGTTGCAAAAAAAAAGTGTTGAAGTAAACACAAAGAAGAGGAATGAGAAGAATCTATACCTGCAGAGCTACTGGTCCTCCTTCTTCTTTTAGCTTCTGCCTTATGGGCTTTTGACAAGATGGGATGGAGACGGATGATCTTCATCCATCTCCATCCCATCCTTTTCTTGCACTCTCTAACATCCCACCTTCCATCTTTTTGTCCTCCCCTTTCTCTGTCCCAAACCCAACTGAGTGTAAACAGAGACCATAATGGATGAACAGATGAGAAACGGGCTGCCTCTGCATTCTCACATCAACACACCTAAACTCATTTACACATAAACTTCTAGAGGTCAACGTAACGATCATCGACATATAGGAGAAGAAAATTGACTTAGTTGCTACACTTGGACTATGTATAGACAAAATGGACGAGCCTCTGTCCAGGTAAAGACAAAATTAGACGGAGGTGTACACATATAGAAAATAATAGACCTACTCATGTCAATGCAGGAGCAATAATGGACTCACTTGTCCACTTAGAGAAGATAATGATCCCAGAGGGGTTCAGCTGGAGACTGTAATGGCCCCGCAGGTCTCTGCTTGGAGAAAGTACAGTGCTCAGAAAAATGATAATAGAGTCCCAGGTGTCCTTGTGAAGACTTTCATGGACCCATGAGTCCACATGTGAGGATATGTTAAAGTCAGATGAGCGAATTCCACGATAAGATGCTCATTATTTCCTCTGGTCAAGGCACAGACTTTTCTTTAATTATACAGAAGGAAGCCATTTATAAAATTTGGCTCCAGGGTATCACACTCCTCAGTCTGATCTCACAGAAAAATGTTTTACAGTATCTTTACTGTAAAAGTAAGTTTCCCACTAGATGCCAGTGTGGCTCATATTTACTGTACAGATGTCAAAGCCATATCAGATTAAAGTCCTTACCACAAAAAAAGAAACTGCTGTTGACATTGATGTTTTTTTGTTTTGTATTGGAACCGTAGAAACTGTTTGGCTATTTATTTTATTTTATTTTGATGTCTTTACTTCTTTATATATACTTTATATACATATATACTGTACCTACTGTTTACCATGTTTTTTATTCAACATTTTTTTAATGAACTAATAAAATTAAACTAATAAAAATACAATTTTAATTTGCATTTAAATAATAATAAAGTAATAAAGATAAATAAGGAAGATTTTTGGGTGAAAACGTGTCTATAAGCATTAGCTTTTATGGTTTGCTAAATGCTGCTAAATGCTGATAGATAGATAGATAGATAAATAGATAGATAGATAGATAGATAGATAGATAGATAGATATGATATAATATAGCATAATAAAAATGATATCTTTGTTCTGCTATTGTGAGTTGTTCACAGCCTAAAATATATAGCGTGTACTTGTTCTGTTCAGGCCACTAGAACAATCTTTCCTGTGAGTAAATATAGTAACTGGCAGCAGGAGTCTGTTTCCCTGATCATAAATGTGTCTGGAGATGAAAACATAGCGTTGTCGCTGGAGAATTCATCACTAATTTATCTCATAGAACAAAGAAATAAATAAATGTATTACCAATCACAGATGAGTGGTGAGGCATTCTGCCTCATGCATCAAATTAATAGTGTTAGACCTAGTTTTGTTTAGCTTATTGAAAAAATAAAAACTTAAATAAAACAAAACAAACAAAAAAAAATCAATGAGAGAGAAAGTGAGTGAGTGAGTTTCCCTTAAACATATGCAGATGTGCCAGCCCTGATGGCGGCCACAGTTTGTGTATTCAGGTCAGTTTCTGCATTCAAAGCAAACACCAACCATGTTTCTCTGCATCATTAATGAGCCCTCTCACTCTCTTTCTTTCACACACCCATACATCCACACACACACACCCTCATACAGTATATAGACACACACAAGCACTACAGTAGGGTGCAGTGGTCTAATATTTATGGTCAAGCGAAGATGCTGTGTTATTGCACTTGATATAGCTTTAGGCCATTTCCATAGCTGCAGCTTTGGTTCATTCTATGCCACTGTCTGCAAAATACAAAATGCTACAAACAAAACATGGGTTTTTGACCGCATTGTTGGACTTATGCCTGGAATTCTCAGCCAAAGAAATAATTTTCTTTTCTTTTTTTTTATTTTCCTGTGCACTTTATGCTAACAACTTTTACTTATTTTGCTCCTGATTGATTGTACACACTGAGCATTTCCCACCTGGGGTTTGACCTCAGCTGCAGGACACACACAGATGCTGGTGCGTGACATATACACATACAGTTCAGGT